GTTACTATTTGCATGCGTGACTCGAGAGTGGTGAATGTCAGACTGGCCTGCTTCTCCCTCGGCGATGTTCCGGCGCTGCTTATGTAACAAACGTGAGTGGTTCTCACATGACATCGAGCCAGGAATCAATGGCAGGTTAATCCTTGTGGTGGACAACGACGAATCATCAACCTGACCATGAGGAGTCTCATCCCAGGGACCACCGAGACTATTGCCGCTGCTGACTGGGCTTCCAGGAACCACAGGTCGGATGTGCTGCGGTAGCTGCTCCCTGAAGAGGTTTATTACTTTCCTTCGGAACTCTGTCACGGCTTTTCGACTCGACGATCCGCCTAGAAAGCAGATGTTCAGTGATCCTGGGCAGATCGACTCTATTATATATTTATGGCCTTTGAAAAAGTGACCCCCAAAACTCATATTTTGGCTGTCTGAAATGACCCCCCAACACTTAATATTGGGCTCTACAAGTAACCGTACCAGCTTGCTCGAGTTGCATCACCACATCTCGCGCGGTTTTGTCATTACTTGCGAGGAGACGATGAATATGTCGTGCATCGACTGCGTGCAGCACTTCGTCTGTGACGAGGCGCTGCATCACCTCAGCTACTGAAATTCCCAGCCGCTGAATGAAAGTATTCTCTATCTCTCCCATTGGCGTACTGAACGATGCAGCCGGTCGTATCCTCGGCTTCTTCCGGCCTGTCCGCGATTTAGTTCGCCGCAAGCGTGCAGTTGGCGTATCCGGCAAAGTTGTCATCCTATGGGTAAGTATGTGGCCAGAACGACCGGGGGGGAGGCAGGGGGCGTCGTGCACGGTGCACCGCGCAGGGACTGCATTGTGCCACCAGAGTTGCTTACTGGCTCTGCAGATTCGATTTGATATCCTTGATCCCTGGAAGTCATTGCAGCCACAGAATTTGACTCCGCAAGGCTACCATTACAGCGACGCTGGATCTCAGGCGATGAGCACGACTGGGCCATCGCTCGATAAGTATCACTCTTTGTCGACCTGGGGGAGGTTTTCGCGGTCCCTGATACGCGAAGCTTCGACTGTAGCTCCTCTACGCGTCGCCGCAACGCCCTCAGTTCCCGAACATTCT